CACGCCGTCTGCGTGCTCGGATCCGGCCACGGGATGGGGAGAGGAGGGGGCTAGGGGATGGAGAGGAGATCCAGCATGCGACGCCGTGCTCCCGATCTGGGAGGCCTCACCGCCACGAGCCCTCTGGAGGGGGAGGGAGGGTCTGCAAGGCCACCATTGGGTTGGAGAGGGAGAGGGGCTGCCACCCGCGGATGGGGAGGGAGGGAGGGCGTTGGGGTGGGGAGGGAGCGCCCGCGAGGGAGAGAGAGAGAGGAGGGAGGAAGAGGAGGGAGGCGTCGGGGGGGGGCCGCTATAAGGGGCGTGAGGGCGTGAGGGAGAGGGAGGCATCGGGTCCCCGCGGTGAACGGGGACGGAGGCATGCATACCATCCCGTCCCCGTCATACTCGACGTGGATGATTTTTTCCCCATTTAATTTCCAATTGGGAGAAAATTTATACCGTCCTCGTCTCCTAATGGGTGAATTCCCTGCGGGGAATCGGGGAACGAGGCCCCGTTGACATCTTTAGGCGGCAGGCAGTAAAATATTAGGCCTTTTTAAAGTTTCAGAGTGTTACATCGGGTGTCACGTGAAGATATTGCACGAGGTGTCCGGATACTAATAAAAAAAAACAAATTACAGAATCCGTCAGTAATCCGCGAGATGAATTTATTAAGCCTAATTAATCCGTCATTAGCACATGTATTAATATAGCACCACATTGTCAAATCATGGACTAATTAGGCTTAAAATATTCGTCTCGCAAATTAGTCACAAAATGTGTAATTTATTATTTTTTAGTCTATATTTAATACTCTATGTATGTGTTAAACATTCAATTAATAGGATAAAGAGTAAATTTTATGGGAGGAAATAAACAAGGGCCTAAAGCGGCGGCTTCCGCTAGATTCCATTCCAGCACCGCTGCCACCGGCGTCATGATTCGGCTGTGATTAGATGAGGCCGGCGTGGGCGAAACTCGAAAGCTCCATGTGTCTGTCTGTGGTGATGATTGTTTTTTTTGGGGCTCGCTGGCGACGTCGCTCCGTTCAAGAAAGAACGTAATTATAGAAAACGACGCGTCGGTCAAACTGTTTAACTTTGAACCAGTCAAATACATTTATTTTGAAAATATATTCTATAACTAATCTAATAATATTTATTTTATCTCATGACTATTAGTAATTTTTATATAATCTTAATCAAAGTTAAAACTGTTTGATTTCTGAAAACGTGAGAATTGTATTATTTGTTTTGAGCGAGGGAGTATTCCTCCTAGCATAGTATAATAAGGAACAGTGCCGTGGAGGAGGTTTGTCTGGCGCCAAAGGAGGCGTCCGCGTCAACCACCGGGGTGGCAGCTTTCCGTTTGGCGCTTTGGTACGGTGGCCTCCCCTCCCCGTGATTGATTATTGCATGCCGGGCTGGGGTCCTTCCTGGTGCATCCGTACCGTACGTGCACACGAGCCAACTCCGTTGTCGCATGGGCGTCGTACTAGCACCACTCACTCATCAGTGCAGCACTCCTACGCTGCTCGCCCGCCCGATGTGCACGAATCTTGACGTGGAGTGTCGTGGCATGAGGTTAGCATGCAGTGCAGACGTAAGACCGTCTCCGACAAGAAACTTATATGGGCACCCAAATCCAAAATGGGAAGCAAAGATCCAAAATCAACTTCCAACAGAGTACCTATACAGGAGAACTATTTTGGGTTGTCTGAGAGGTACAACCTAAATACATGCATCATCTCTCTTGGAAACTCATTTATAGAAATGATTCTCTTTTGGGTCTTGTTGTTGGAGAAGATGTCGAATAGGTATTGAACCTTTTGTCTGTAGCGCTACCTAAAGGACAAATAAATCTTGTATTTTGGGTGTTGTTGTTGAGATAGCCTAACCACGCACGAATCCGACTAGGGCCTGGACTTAATTTGCAGGGAGGAGAGGGAAGCATTTTAATACCCGGGGTCGAGTTTAATTCAAATAAAAACCCAAAACGGAAACACTCATGTTTGGACAGACACCGTACTCGCCCACGCTACCTCCGCCCACATGTCGCCTGTTGCTCATTGGACGGAATAGGCTCTCACCCGTGCCGACCCCACTCGCGCCCACGCTCGCGGCGAGCCCGACGTGTTAGGCGCTCGCTAGCTCACTCATGGACTCACACCTCCTTTCGCGGTCGCGCTCCATCCGCCTGCCCCTGCCCCTACCGAGGTATGTGCCAACGACGAGCTCCACACCAACGACCTTCGCGGCTTCGAGCTTCGCGTCGACGAGCTTGCCTAAGCAGCAAGCAGATGCTACGCTGAAAGCACATATTGCAATAGTATGTTTCAAATATTTCAGATGTTTCAGAGGTATGTTACAAGTGTTGTATATAGATGTTACAAAAGTAGAACAGGTTGCTGCACATGTTGTAATGACTATACACGTATGTTTCAAGTGTATGTTGCAAATGTTTCATCCATTCGAGACGAATGTTGTAAGTGTTTTTTCCGGATGTTGCAAAAGTAGATATGTATGTTGCATATACATGCATGTTGCAAGCATATGTTTTAATTGTTTTTAGGTGTTTCATACGTATGCTTGCAAGTGTTTCATCTGGATGTTACATATATTTGCAATGGTTTCCAAATGTTTTCTAGGCGTTTTCGCAAGTGTTTCAGACGATTGTTTCAGGTGTTTTATTTGTCTTCTTTTGTATATTGCAACTGTTATATCTGGATGTTTTAAAAGTAGATCAGGTATTATAAATAGGATGCGCGTGGAAAACGGCCGACAGCACGGAGGACGTCCGGGACGGGGTGGACGACGTCCGCGACAGCATAGAGCCACTGCTGGGATGCTCTCTCACGATCCTGATACGCTACGCGTTCGTTCGCTCTCTATGCAGACAGCGTCCGGACGCTGGCAAGTCAAAAAAAAAAAAAAGTGGGCGGACGTGCTCGCCTCGCTGTTGGCTCCAAGCACATTTGACTTCGAATTTCGCTGTGGCTGCCGGCTCTGTTGACGCCTTCAGCGTCTGAATTCTGAAAACACGAACATGATTGACTACAGGTCCAGTTTGTAGTTGGACGCTTAATTTTTCTTCACGGCCTCACGGGTGTTTTCAAAAGGATTTGATCATCAGTAGTTCGTTCAGAGCGCGGGCAGACGGGCAGGTACAGCGCGCTGGGGCATCGGCTAGCTCATCAAGTGGGCCGGAACAGAGAGTGCACGTGTACTGCACAGTTGCATCGCCTCGTCACCAGAAAAAGGTCATGTTCGTGTTAGGTGCACTATAATGCAACGCAGCATTCCTCTATTCAAAATAAACTACCGCGAGGAGAGATAGTATCAGGTAATTGACCGACTGGCTGCTGGTTAAAAAATAATTTCAAAATGCTCGTATAAAAAAACAAATTGACATTACTCGCTTTTGATCACTTTTACAGGCCACACGATGACACGAACATAGTAATTTCTTCGGCTAATCAGTAGCAATTACAGTTACAGCCTCCTCGCTGAGATCCACGAAATCAGCGTAGGCTTACCGCTTCGCAGCTGCAGTACTGGCAGGCAGTTTAAAAAGCGAGATGGACAAGGTAATCAACACTTAATAAGAGTATTTCTAAAAAAACGCTTAATAAGAGTAAATAAAATTAGCAGATGCACAATGGATTGCTGGTGCAGTGGTGGACCGTCATCTCTGAACATTTTCGTCGAGCGGCAGCCAATCAGCGCCTGCACAGCAGAGTGTTAAAGTGTGTACGCATGGACGCAACTACACGTGCATGGATGGACATGGCAACATGACATCAACGGTTAATAATGTCTTAATGACCTTAAATTTCTTCCGCTCAATTACGTTACTACGGCTGCTTTTTATTGCCGCTAATGTTGGTACCCGCACGCTAACGATCAGGTTCGTGGTTAGAGCAATAAGGTCTGTTAATGGTCGCTTACGGGAGAGGTATTTGTGTTGTGCGTTTCTGTACATTCGAGGACCGTATAGAGTGAGTACAACGTAACGGAAATGTAGCGTAATCCGGTATATACTCCGTACCTAACACTGTAGCATCCAATTCCGGTTTTACCCTTGCGTACATGAAGGCGACGAGACAGACTAGCGAGTGCCGAGTAGAGACGCCCCCCGCCGGCCCGCGAGGCGAGACCTGGCAGGGGAATAGGGGATCACCGGCTCACCGCAGAATGGCAGCGCAGGGGCAGGCGCAGCCTCGCCGGGGCGTCGTGTACCGGAGGCGCAGATGGCCGTTGGCGCGGCGAGCCCGGGCCGGAACTGCGCCCCCCAACACCACCACCCCCCTGTGGCGCGACAGCTGCCGCCAATTAATTATTCGCCCACCATTAAAACGCCTCCGCCCCCTTCGCGACTCCCTCCTCCTCCCCATATCTCCACCCTCCGTCTTCCCTTGCCTCCTCTCTCGTCTCATCTACTTCCCTCTCCAGTATCTCCGTACCTTCCCCTTCCTCGCCGTCGTGCCACCCGCCCAAACCACACCTGAACTGCCCATTTTCATTTTTCCCTCGCGTAAGGCGTAACCGGTGTGTTGTGGTCGTGGGGGCGGTTTCGGCCGGGGAAGCGCGGCGAAACCGGGAGCGTTTCAGAATTCAGACCGGCCGGCCGTTACTGGTGGCACGGGGACGGCGCCGCGAGATCGCATTGTGGCGGACGCGGCCGGGTCACCACGGCATTTCGCTCCGGGAGGGTCCGTGGCTGCTCGAGGCGTTTGCTTGTTTGTTTCTCTTCTCTCTTGCGGCGGGCGGCGGGCGGGGCTCAAGGTTGGTGGCCGGCCAAGCACAGCGCCTCCTTTTCGCGGTCGCCTTTTCGGAGCGGCCGCTGCTGCTGGTGACTGGTGGGGAAGGGATGCGCCTTGCCTTTCCGCCGCCTCGGCGTGGCGTGATTCCGAAGCGTTGCCGGGATTGTACTGGTTTCTGCTGGTAGATATAGAAAAAACACCGCATCCTTTTGGAGGCCCGTCCCAGGCTCCCAGCTGACACGAAGGTTCCTCCCGGACAATGCCGAGCATCCGAGCTCCGGCGTCCAAGCAGACGGCCACGCTACAGGTACGCCATTCCCATTCTCCTGTGGGACGGTCCTAGTCACTGGGAAACTTCATTCTCGCTGCTTAATTGCTAGCATTGCTTATCGTGTGCGCAATTCTAATCGTGATGATGCATTCCAATTCCAGGTGGCTGTCAAGTGCAGGCCATTGACCGACACCGAGCAGCGGCGCTCGCGGCATATCATACAGGTCATTGATGACAAGGTACCCCGCGCCTCTGGTGTGTTGATGCGCTTGCTCTTTGCAATTGGTGGTGGGAATGTGATGGTTTACACGCGTTTCTCTCCCTAGACTGTGGTTGTGCTGGACCCTGATCTGTCAAAGGACTACCTGGACCTCATCCAGAACCGGACCAAGGAAAGGAGATATACCTTCGATCATGTGTACGCGCCTGGATGCTCCAATTCGGTATGTGATAGTGAAGTTTGCTCTGCTCTCATCAGTAATTGCTTGGCCTGCTTTTGACATTGGGCTCAGTCGCTCAGATGCTCAACATAGCAACTTTTCGAAATCTTCATCTCAGCTCGGATTCTTCCCTAGACCCTAACTTCTCATTTCTTGCTTCCCTAGAAATGATGCTCTGAAAGACCAAACCACCAACTAATTTTATTATGAATTGCTTCAATGGGACTCGTGCTTTGGACAGTTGTTAAAACAATGCTACGGAGTACTGACATATACGAACTACTGGTAGTGGTAGCTGGTACTAGCCTACTAGGGGTATCTCGTGCATGTACAGTTGGAGCAATACTACTGGCATCTAAAGGGCCAATGAGCAGCTTTTGTTCAGTCTGTACTGTATCCAACCCGTGATGTAGACTTACTGTTAGGTCTCTACCTAATGCAGATGTCTTCAAAGCAGTAGTTTTGTTGTACTATTGAATTTTGAATTATTGATCACTATGATCCTTGAACTTCAATTCAGATGTTTCGTCCAGTGAATGTATACCAGGACTGGAAGCATGTGTTAAACTGACCCAACAAATCAGTTGCTTGAACTTTTGTTAATCTTTCAGGTTTACGAATTAATTATATTACTTTTATTTGTGAGGACAGAATAGTACAAGGAATATAAATAAATCAATTGTTCTTATAGTATAAGATGTAGGTTAATCCTACTCTGGGTGATTACACACTTGTGCTTGCCAGCTAATTACTGGTAACAAGTCACATGTTCTTGTACTTTCCACACCATCACATTTTCATTATTGTGATATTCATGTTCAGGACGTGTATAAGAATATATCCTCTACAATTGCTGGTGTAGTCCAAGGCCTTAATGCAACAGTCTTTGCTTATGGTTCTACTGGAAGGTATCCGTTAACTGTATTGTGTTGCTTGCTGTCTGCTTAACATTGTGTGATATGCTGCTTCGCAGTTCAGAATGTTTTTTATGTTAATATTATTAATAACCATGGTGCACATTTCAAATTGCAAGCCTTAATAAAAAGTATAGAGTTTTGTATGGAATTTCATTCTGATATGCTCATTGAAGTTTTGCACATTATACTTGCCTTTGGTGTTTGTAATACTAATACTTTGTAGTAATGTGATGCATAGCTTGCACTGTATTTATTGAAATTTCATCATATTCAATCAAAATAATCATGCTGACCACATATCTGTCTTAGAATACATTCACATTACATTGGTTATGTTTATTTAAATCTATAACCTAATCCTGTTCAATGTTAACTAAATTAGCTTGTTGTTACTGATGTTTTTTTTTCAGTTATTATATATTAGGTTTCTATCCTCCTTTTCTTCCTCATAACATTGTTTAAACTGTGGCAGTGCTACTCTTTGAAACTTTCATCACGGAAAAACAGCTAAACCATATTTCCACATTCATCAATGGGATGTTTAGTAAATGTCAGATAGTGTATTTCCTGATCTGTTGTACTCCCTCCGTCCAGGAATGATAAGCGTATTTTAACCATGGAAAAGTCATAGAAAGTAGATTTTGAACCTTAATTTCTCTTACAATATGTTGCTAGTTTCTAAAAATTCAATATCATCTCAAAGACCCCGCACAGAGCGAGGGAAGGTCCCGGGTTGGAGTCGCGGTCTCCTTGCATTGCACAGGCGAGTGTAAGGCTTGCCACTGACACCCTTCCCCAGACCCCGCACAGAGCGGGAGCTCTCTGCACTGGGTACGCCCTTTTTTTATCTCAAAGACACTTTGAACACAAATCAATTAATTCAAGTTTTATGCCCTAAACTTGTACATAATTTGACCAATCTTTGGTCAAAATTATAAAATTTGACTTTGTTTTGAACAAAATACGCTTATCATTCATGGACGCAGGGAATACCTCTTTGGTACTAGCTTCGAAGTTAAATGTCCATGATAATGTTTCGTTTGATATATATTTATTTTTGTGGTTGTACAGTGGCAAAACTTACACTATGGTTGGAACCCATAGCGATCCTGGTCTGATGGTTCTTAGCTTCCGGACAATTTTTGAGCTGATAAAAAAGGATGACAGTAAGGATACATTTGAAGTTTCATGTTCATATCTAGAAGTGTACAATGAGGTATTACCTCTGTTCCTTTTGCTGGGTGTATTAGGATTTGAAAGAGCTAAACATCATAAATTGTGACAATTATTATTGAATTATATGCATGTTTAGTGTATACTGTTACAATTGATTTTTATTTCGTAATGCTTACATGACATTGATTTTGAAGCAATTGGTTATACATTGTAAGAGAAATCAACAGTCAGCGTACATTTCTAAAGACATTTCCAAATCCTAATACGCCTTAAAGGAAAGAAACAGATGGAGTAGGTGCCTTGGCACTAGGCGGTGTTGCACTGCTCGACTAGCACCTAGGCATTTTGTCTAGGCTATTTCCCTCTCTAGAGATGTTTTTGACTTGATGTATGCATAAAACTGGGACAAAATAGAAATGAAGAAAGGTAAACTACAATCATATTACTTATGGATGCATGATAATACCATTTTTTCTATTCTAGTATGCTAAATTACCTTTATTTAGATTAGCGTTACTCTAACAGGCCATAAAATGCACAAGCGGCTAGCAACGGCTAGACATGCCTAAGCACTAGGCAGACAGTCAGCCATTTATAACTGTACATTGTATACCTTTCTGAAATAGTACCATTGGTATTTTCTTGAATTCTAGGTTATCTATGATTTGCTTGAGAGATCCTCTGGACACCTGGAGCTTCGAGAAGATCCTGAGCATGGCATAATAGTTGCTGGGTTGAGAAGCATTAAGGTATTTTAATACTTTTGCTTTCTGTTATTTTTTCATGTTAATGAGAATTAAATACCATCTGCTAGTGGAAGTTGTCTCTCTTTCTACTTTTTAACTTTTTGTATCTACTTTATTTTAACACCCAACTTTATCGGCATCTTTTCTATGATTGGAACATTGTCACTGCATTTAAGTGGCTGACAGAGAGGACCTGAACCCTTGATACATATATTGTACTTGTAACATGTGATATATAATTTTCCATTCTTAAGAAATTAATGTCTTGCCAAGACAGCCTCATATTTTTTTTCTTTAAAAGAACTATTTGATCGTGCCTTTCATTTATGCGAAGGGATGTGTTTTCCCAAATTCTGGCATTGTTCAGTTAGATATTATACACCATGCTGTACTGTAAAAATGAATACACCACTGTCTCATTTTTCTTCAATATGAAAGCATGATTGAACTTCAATCTTGTTTTGTTGTTAGGTTCACTCTGCAGATAGGATTCTTGAGCTGTTGAACATAGGCAACAGTAGGCGCAAGACAGAGAGTACAGAAGCAAATGCTACTTCTTCACGGTAATTTAATAATTTTCAAATCTTCTTTCTTTTCTAAATGTTCATGCCTTCATTACTTATGTATTTTGAAGGATTTATTGATATCTTGCATGCCAGGACTTCTTCCTGCTAGGCTGTTCCCACAATAGTATCAGGGATAGAAATTCCCACAATAATCTGTAAAAATAGAAAATCCTAGAAATTGTAACATGGGAGAAAAGAAGGATGTACACACTATGATGTTAGTGCCTCCAGATCAGAACAAATTATACAAATATTGATGGATATAGTTCTAAAACAAGTATGGTAATTTTTAAATCATAGATATTGGATAATACCACATCTATTGTCATATCTAGCAATGTGATTCTAATCATTTATTTTTCTTTTCATTTGTCAAGGTCACATGCTGTACTTGAGATTACCGTAAAGCGAAAGCAGAAAGGCCAATATGGTAACCAAGTTCTTCGTGGAAAGCTTGCCTTGGTTGATCTTGCGGGCAGGTAATAGAAACTCTGTTTCATTGCTAGTCTAATTCCTTCTTGTGGAAAAAGCAAGTTGTAATGTTACATTCTGTGAGCAGTGAAAGGGCCTCGGAAACAAACAACTTTGGGCAAAAGCTTAGAGATGGAGCCAACATCAATCGGTCACTCCTAGCATTAGCAAACTGCATCAATGCCCTAGGCAAGCAAAACAAGAAAGGTCTTGCCTATGTTCCCTATCGCAACAGGTATGTTTCAAGCATTGATTTTACTCAAATGGGACTTTTTTTTTTAATTTATGTGGTAGCTAATAGCAGCTTTTGCAGTAAATTAACTCGAATTCTAAAGGATGGGCTGTCTGGTAATTCTCGAACTGTTATGGTTGCTACAATATCACCAGCTGATGATCAGTATCATCACACAACGAACACACTCAAGTACGCAGACCGTGCTAAAGAGATAAAAACACATGTCCATGTAAGTGTTCGTTTCTTTTGGTTGAATCATAGGTTTATAAGATTCAAATTAAGAGGTCAAACAGCAGATTTTATGCCTATTGCTTAATCATAAGCATTTCCAATCCAATAGAACTTATGAATGTCATCTATTTTGTTCTTTGTAGAAAAATATTGGAACACTTGACACTCATGTTGAAGACTATCAGAGGATGATCGACAATCTTCAGGTTTGCCATAATGAGAAACAAATGATCTAACTCAAATTCATCATAGTTAAATGTGTCACGTGATTTTGCAGGTTGAGGTTTCTCAGTTGAAAAAGGAATTAGCTGAGAAGGAGCATCAATTAAGTATAAAGCCTATTGAAAAAGCTGCAGATAGTGAGCTATCTTGGTTAAATGTCTTGAGCCAGGAAACTGGTGAGAATGTTCAAGAACGCATAAATCTTCAGAAGGCTCTGTTTGAACTCGAAGAAACCAATAAGCGCAACCGAATGGAACTCCAGCATCTTGACGATTCTATTGCAAGGCATCAGGTTGGTGATCAGTTTCAAACAAGTTCCTATTCTGCAGATCTTAGTACACCAAAACACACCTCTAATGTGCTATTCCCAACAACCTCTTTGGAGACCTTTTCCTTCCCCTTTCTTTCTCTGGTAAAACTGTAAAAGCGGTTTATAGGACATCCTAAGCTGTTGATATCTTTAGCCCTTCCAAACAGACTGCCAAGGCAGTGGTTTGAAATCTACAGTATCATATAATGGAGTAACAGTAGATACCTTTTGTATATCATTGTTGACAACAGTCTTGCAACAGAACACTGAGAATTTTGTGTTCAGGTGAAAGAAATGGACTCTACAGTCCTCCAAGCTTTAACATCAAGGAGACAAGTTATTCTTGACAACATCCGTGATAATGATGAAACTGGTTCTGGATATAGAAAGGTGTTAATCTTATTCTGTTTCCTTTTGTTTAGTTGCCTGAATGCCAAACTTATATGGAGATTTTCCCCCGTAGGACATTGAAATGAATGAGAGTCGCAGGCGACAACTCCAGGATATGATTGAAGAAGCCATCAGTAACAATGGCAATAAAACCTACCTGCACATTCTCAGCCAGTACAGACTACTTGTAAGTAACCCACGGCTTTTGTCTTTCCCGATTTAAGCAATAAGAATGCGACATCTCACATGTTATCTATGTGTAATGTACTCTTTAGGAAATGACTAATGCTGAGCTTCAAATTGAGATGGCTATGCGGGATCAAGTTATACATAATCAGAGGGAAGCTCTAAGGAGCCTGTGGAACATTCTCTATGGAACGGGGCTAAACCAGAAGCAGATTCTTAAATTGGCTGCAAAGCAAGGATTAACTGTAGAAGGCTGTCCTTTGCCTAGCTCAAGCCCAGATGTTACCACGCCACCTTCCTTTCCACCTCATAGAAGGTTTCCATCGTTTATGTCATTTCCTAGTCCGCAGTCAGAGCCTTATTCTCCGTCTGCTTGCTTTTTCCAACATGGTTTCAGCACTATGTCTTTGCTGAAAAATCAGCATGAGACGCCCACCATATGTAGGCAGGAGCACCTCAGTTCTTACTACATGATGTCTGGCTGCTCGCCTTACTCTGGTGATGGAAAACAGTGGTCACGTGGAAGACCTATGACATTCTTTTCTACTCCAGAAAAACCTAAGGAGGTGAGCAGTGTATACCGGGGAACAGAGAATGCACAGTCCCAACACAAGAAGGAACATTCTGGCAGTCATGATTTCAGTCTGCATAGAAAGGTAAACTGTTTCCTATACACAAGCTGCTAAAAAAAGTGTCATGATGCATATCACACCATGTAAACATAGTCCATCTATCAAGAATCCAAAGGGAAAAAGAAGACAAAAAAAAAGAGGCATCGCCTTACTATTATTTGCCTAGTGTTGTTTTTTCAGATTGCTTATTTTCTTCACTTTCTGCATTGTATCTAAATTCTAAGCCGCCTCCACTGTGCAGTGATCCTCAGAGCACACATACTGATTAATGTTGCTCCCAGCTTTCTAGAATCGAATTTAAATTTGGAGAATCAAATATTGGACTTACCATAATTGTTAGCAGGTATTTGAGTGGCCAACCAGTAAATTAGGGAAATCAAACACATAAAGAAGTTTTCTTTCCAAGCCTGGTAACACCACACTTAAGTAAGTCGATTCATATTAGCCAACAAGCGAATCTATTAACTCTCTGGTAAAAGTGCTCATCACTACTACTATATATAATATAGTAAATTACAGACAACACTCAATGCTAATGAGTGGATCAAGTCATTTACTAGTCAATGAACTGACTAAACCCTGTCTGTTCTGGGAATTGATCCAGTGACCCACTTAACTATAAAAGGGAGGTGATGTGATGTTCTTTTTATAAACAGGATTTTATAAACAGGATGGAGCATGGCTTCCTTTCTTCTTAGATACATTTCATTCCTTCGATCCCTCCATAGCACTAATGACATCAATGAAAAACGATTACAAAGATTTACCATATAAATCACGTTTATGACATTATGCTTTACGACTACTGATTTGTAGATACCAGAATATTCATCGATGTTCCTTGACTTTGACTGTCAAAACTGCAAATCGTTCTATGCAGCCTACTGATGAATTAACCTGGTAAATTACTATTTTATCATGTAGAATGACCACAGAACATGATGCTTGCGAACGTAGCTCATAATAATTAGATTTGCCATCGAAATGTGATGATTGTTTGACCCTCAAGTTTGCATGAGCTGACCAAGATTTTTCTTGCTGTGCAGGATCCGTGGTCCATGGAAAGGAAATGACGGGCCTCGAGATCCTTCTGGTACACAAACATCTGTGATGGCTACAATGTGGCCTGTCTGATGTTCCTAACCTTGGTCGCTGTGTGCACCATCTTCTGTCTACCACCGACGTTCCCAAGGTTCCTGAGATCTGAAGAGATGTTAGTAGATTTCGCCGGAGCTGTTGCCTTGCCCACGGCCATTTTGATTGATCCTGCTGGCATTGCTCACTCCACCCTGTACAGTAGTAGATGCTAGTCCTCTCAAGATACCCTCCTTTTCCTAACTTTGTAAAGTGGTTGCTGGGGGGTGAATCTGATTTTTGGACCAAGAACTCTGTAAATTTGCCGCGGTTCTCGTCCTTCTTCAGTAAATCCAATGAGAAAAGCTTCCAAGATTGGTCTTCAGGTTCAGCATACTAATCCTCTGCATGCTGGTATGACAAGCTGCCTGAGGCCAAATCTGCCGGGTGACGATCAGGATAGAGTTGGGTGAATGGGTGATTGATGAACAGGCTACAGTAGCATGTGGTAGGAATAGGATCTCATCTCCTCTCCAGATCATTGAATAAGCCCTGCTGAGGCTCACCTGCCCTGGAGACCACATTCAAGCAGGAGCAGCGCTGGGCATGGTCCTCCTCTCTCATTCATGTTTCTGCTTCTGCACAACAGTTGTGCTGAATGCTACGCTGGAGCGGCGGCAGGCAGCCGAGGCCGCACGGCGCGCACATCGCAGTCGCATTACACATTACACATTCCACATGCCAGGTTGTCGCCGGCGCAACCAAAGGGCTGGCTCCGTCTGACATTCCGTTCCGGTTCCGGGGCCTTGATCGTCATGTTCGGCTGATGGTTTCTGGGGCTGATAAGCCGATTGATGCTGTTTTGTCGTGAGAGAAAAATACTGTACCATAGCTAATAAGCAGTTCTCCTTCATCCTTGGTAAGATGTGACACATCCTTCATCATTGGTAAGATGGTGCAGTTGCCCAGCTAGTTTATAGTATACAATAGCACCGTGGTAAAATGATAGTGAGATACTAGGGATTAGGATTACCGTAAAACACGAGCGAGTGGAGTAGTGTACTGGAGTGGCCATGCATGGCTGCCTGTACATGTCAGCTGGCACGTACTATTAGTAGAGTGTAGGTTGTGGGCTCTGGCAGGCAACTAGCCTGGCCCATTGCGTCTGGCAGGCGTGCGTGCTGCGTCGGAAGCGAGAGCAGCGAGACCACTGGTGGCCTGGTCCTGGTGGGTGAGGGCGTCAGGTTGAGGCCCGTGGTGAAAGGCTCAGGAACAGAAGGCGGCGTGCAAGCCGTGACCTACAGACCTCAGACCTGCAACTGCATACTGGGGCAGCAGAGGCCAATGCTTTCCGGCCCTACAGGACTGCACTGACAGCTCGTGGGGTACGGTAACTCGCAGCGTTTTTATCTCTTGCTAATGCTAATGGTACTTCAACTGTCATTGGAGGAGGTCCTCATGGTTTCACGTGATGAGGGAGTGCATGTATACGATTTTTCATAGTGGACTTGTTCGTGCCTGATTACACATGGTCCAAATTAAAGCCCAAAACAACCTGAAACCAAGTGGTAGTGGAGCTTTCCAGCATGCAAAAATACATGGCTAGCCAGAAGCCAGGCCAGACGGGCAATCAAGGCTGCTGCATGCTCTACCCTCTGTGCAGCTGTTGCATGCTGTGGCTGTATGTGCGTGTCTTTGTCCAAAAGACCCGTTTGAGACTTTGAAAGCAGTACTAGCGATTAGCAAGCGTGTGATGGATGAACGAAGAAGAAGAAGCCAAAGCAGCGATTCGATCGAGAGGCGCCGACGAAGACGAAGGTTTCATTTCATGTAAGGGCGAGCCCCTGTTTGATTTGGACGCATGCCTTCGTCCTCGTGTGATCGTGTCAACCTTCAACTCATATATGTAGGATCGATCCAGGTTCAAGGCTTTCTCGATGCAGGATTTTTACATGGATGAAACCCCAGTAATTTAGGTAGGTAGGTTTCAACCGGGGAAAAGGTTTTCTTTGTTCCAAACAGGGTCATTGAACATCGATCGTTGAACTCGTGAAGGTTTCTTTGCTTTCCAGTAGTGAAATAACATATAGTTTTACGTGAATCTCAGCTCAATCTTCCCAAGCGATTACAAACAGAGAAAGTAGAACAAATTACAAAGGAGGGCAAACTAATTAGGTTCATGGAAGACGTACAAATATTTTACTACTGGTTCATGGAAGAAGTACAAATATTTTACGTAGACGAGACAAGTCTTAGGTCCAAAACATGTATGGCCGCCGTCCTCATCTCGTGTTTCTGGTGTACTACCCGTAAACGTGAGAGGGGACAGAATGCACCCCACTCGGGGACGTGAAATGCAAGCGGCGCCGGCCCTAACGCCGAACGAAGCCAAGACTCTTTTTTATTTCATTCATGCCTATGCATGCATAGCAGCTAGCGCTACTACTAGATGTTTACGCTACGAGCACACACTACGCTATCACCCCCTTGTTTACGTCCCTCTAGGACCAGCTAGGCTCTCTGTTAGTCAGCACCCTAACCTAGGCCGTGCAATTCATCATTTCGTTGAAAAACGTCAGCATGTAACAGAACCGACCAATTATACGAAATTAAGTAAAAAAATCACCCGTCAGAGCAGACGATTTAGCAAACTTAAGCCCGTATAACCCGATAGTCCGTGAAATCACGAAGGATTTCAAACCAACTCACATACCAGCCAAGATCGTAATAAGTTTAGCGGTCACCATCACATATTACATAAAAGTTCGCATCACAGGTACATCAGAGTTTAAACGTAGTTATTACAAAACGAGTTCAAATAGAAATAGCGGAAGCCATTTGTTCAAAACCACACACACTCACACGGAGTTCAAATACAGTGCCAGCTAATGATCATCTCTAACAAAAGCATTAGACGAGACTTAAGGAATGACCATGCCCATGGTCCTAAGCATCACCCATCGCAGGATAAAGGCGGTTGATACGATCGTAGTAATACATCCGCCATCTCGCAACAAGTGGGAATAAAACCACGAGTACGAGAAGGTACTCAGCTAGACTTACCCGACATAACCGAAAATAAAAAGTGACACCAAGGATTATGAATGGCTTTATAGTAGGGTAGTGACTCATTTGCAAAAGAGGCATTTTAGTATTTCAATAACCTTTCCAAAAGCATTATTGTCAAGTTAATTATTATTAACACATCGTCACTACATTTGCACCTATACTAGAGCAACCATGTGATTAAGCAAATAATGATAACCAATGATCATTAACAACTTCCATAATGTCATATTCATTATAAGCGTCCAAGTGTTCCATCAACATTACTACGATGAAGTAATTCAAGTCAAGTGTTCACTATCCAGTGAACGATGGCGATTCGAATCGATTATTAACCAGCTGGTAACTTATTCCTTACACAAACCTCACTCACCCGCTAAAGTGAGGTATCGGTCACCGAGTCAACTATCCAGGAAAAATCTAGAGTTTGCTAGGAACCACATGTACCCGGGGGCCGACCGACTGCCTTTCGGTCTTATCATCGCGCCCCCGTGTCCTACCACACCTCTCCCCAGATGCAGACGTCATGGGCAATCTACTCGGCTCGAATAATCTCTCAGCTTCGCGGTCGAAAGGTACTTTATTCGGCCAAGCTAAATGTAAGGCATGCGTTCAACATGACCGAGGCCCAACAACGGTCGGTCCTTAATCGACCACGCATGTAAAGCACTACAATCAAAACTCTATAAGTCTCCGTCCCCAAGTCAACTTCAAATTAACACTTAGTTATACCATGACTACATAGTTATCCAAGCAGATCTAAGTAACCACCTATAGCTCGCAGGTGACAGGAAATCACCCGACTTCTATCGGTCTAAGCCAGCTAAGCATTGACTCGACAGCGGATACCAGGGTGACAAGGATATAGTATAACAAAGGTAGACAAGGTATAATGTAGCAACGGTTGCAAACAACTCCTGAACGTAATGCATCAATTAAAGTAAAGCATTAATTAATAATCGCAAACCGGGGAGGAAAATGCTCCGGGGCTTGCCTCTCTCGAAGGAGCTCGGGCGGTGATCGGGGCACTCCGAAAGTTCCTCAACGTCCTCCTCGTCTGCTTCGGTCACTTCTTGCGGCTGCACCTCGAGCTGCTCCTCGGGTATGACGATCGGGCTCTCGGTTTGCGATCCTGTATGATGCAGGTGCGTAAGTGCTTATGCAAAAGGTGCATCAGATGAAATGAACACAATGAATGTGCTTGCATGCAAGGTAGTCAACATCATCCTAGAACATGTACTACAAGCACATGTCATCTACTGCATTCTCTTCTGCTACTAATATGCTAAGTCAACACATCTCATTAAATGCTTCAAAGATACACCAAAGCTTCACTAATTTCTTAATCATGCATAAAGCAACATTTGATTAAACCATAATTAATAATAGGTTTGAATAGCAACATCTATTTTTATAGCATAGAAAAATCTTAGAAAATTACCATAGCACAGTACTACCCTAAGTAGTGTACCCTTAAATTTTTATGGCATTTGGATAAGTGGATTAGCCTACACGAAAATGACAAGCTATGGCATAATTATGATCATGAAAATACTTTGTACTGTGAAAAGTGTCAAACAACAGATGTAATATTTTTCCTATGTTCTACACAGTAAATAATCACTTCAAAAAACTTATCACATGCATGTTTAATACAAATTTTGCTCTCTAGCAAAAATAACAAAAATCAGCCATTAAAGTCACTTGAACTACATCTCATAATTTTTCTACAGGACATGCATGTCATATATTTTTTCTAGGAAGTACATTACACAAGAAGAGTAACAAACTTGGAATCATATTTTTCTGATACATATAGGATTTACTAAACATTTTACAAGATATCAGCAATATCAAGAATTAAATAAAGCTCTACATTAAAGTATCTCAAAAATGACATGCAATATTTTTATCATGTAAATCTGGTGACAAGGAACACAACAAAATTTGTTTCAATAAATTTCGAGCCATTTTGAGCAAGTTATAAATTCCCA